GGGCAGTGTTGGGGCAGTGAGGGTGGGAGGGCAGTGTTGGGGCAGTGAGGGTGGGCAGTGTTGGGGCAGTGAGGGTGGGTGGGCAGTGAGGGTGGGAGGGCAGTGTTGGGGACAGTGTGTGTGGAGGCTGTGACAACCCTCCAAACACTAAAATACCTTGTTTTGTAATATAATTCCCTGGTGATCCAGTGGTTGAAGTCCCTGGTGGTCCAGTGGTTAAAGTCCCTGGTGGTCCGGTGGGATGACTGTTCCGTGTTTTCGCGAGCGCCTTTCAGAGCGGCAACACTCTGTTTGCTCGCGAGAACCACATTATGTGATCTGCAGCTCTGCACTCGGCAGAGCTGCAGATCAGAAGCTGGCTCTCCCTATGGGCAGACCATGTTGAGGGGCCACCCGGCGGCATACTGGGCAAGCCACCAGGCCCCCTCTCACCCGACAGTTCAGTCTGCCCTAAGGTGATTTAGGCGGCCGCAAGGCCCCAGCAAGTGAGAGGCCTTAGGCGGCCGCCTAAACCACCTAATTAGAGAGCCGCCTCTGATCCTTCTGTAAGAAATCAGTAGAAGATGCTTAGACTGTGGTCAGATAGAGATGCACATGGTGATTGGTGAGTAACAAAACACAGACAAGCTCTGGTATTTAAATGATAAAGGATTCTTGTTACATAGAGCAGCGGTTCCCGAACCAGTCCTCATGGCCCACCAACAGTCCAGGTTTTGCCATTATCTCCATTGGAATAAAAAAAGGGAAATACATAAATCCTGGATTGTTGGTGGGCCATGAGGACTGGTTTGGGAACCACTGGCAAAGAGTATCTTCTTTATAAATATTTTCAACATACATTTTAGAGACTGTTATGCATGGAAAATTCTAGAGAAATCTTACATATGAAAGCCACCCTGTGTGACACCAGCAGCCATTAGCAGAATTACTGCAAACAGACAAGGTAATTAAATAGTTTAGGTTAAACATCATAAACTGGAATTATAGCAGAATTTGGAGAATGTTTCCAATTCAGTTGTTTTTAGACAAAACTTTGCAACTATCTTGTCTGTTCTCTTCAATTGGTAGATTATAGAAGCTTATTCTTCAACTAGTGTTATATGTTCTCACTAGAATTTCAAGTAATCATAAAAACATAAATCGATTGTGGCTAAGCCGTTGGACCATCTATCGGACAATTCATTTCCACACCCAGCAGCAGAATATGTTGCTTGATAGACTGATGCTCTTTCCTCCACTTTGAATATCTAAGCAACTGTGTTATTTTATGATGCTATAATACCTTATTCTGTCTGGAATTGCTGGTATTATATGTTTAAATAACTATGCTTGTGCAGCGAGATGATGCTCCCAGCTGGGTTATGATGATTACACTTAAAGCATTTATTATCTCAAGTACTGATTTATTTAATGTGTTTCTACCTCCATGTTGCATCCACTGGATAAAGATCACTTTGGGGTTTATTAGCTTAACAGCATTCTCTATAGAACTACCAATTGTCTTGCAGAACATTGGCCATAGTATCTGATGGAAAATATAAATTTAAGCATAAGTCATCAATTTTTTTGGGGGGGTCTTTTTTTAACTCCCTAATATGAACGGTTGTCACTGGTTTTATATTGAATCAGTATTTCACTCATATCACATTCATCAGGTGCGTACGTATCAATGTGTCTATTGTTATGCTATGTCAAGCATTCGTTGGTGGATAATCCGTGGATTTATCATTGAAAAAGTTGGAGCCAACCAAATGTCATTCATTGACTCAAGGCACAAATTGAGTTACCCGAGGTTCGAATCATTATGAAGACTCGGTTGTGTTCATACATGAATACTGACCATGGGTGTTCCCTCGAGCAATATTTTAATCAAATGTTGCCATATTTGTGTTTTGGTGATTGCTACAGGCTCATTGTGTTTTACATTTACTATATGGTACTGTTATCATTTGTTATTGTATTACTGTGTGAAAATAGTGTATGCTAGCCTATCACAGCACTGATTTCCACTGAACCCTACCAGATTGCTGTGTTAGATGTTTTATATTGTTTATGTTGCTATGGCTTCTGACTGGATCATCTCTATTTTGGATTTTACCAAACTCAGGAAGGCATTTGTGTTTCCACCACCTCTCATGTTATATTTCAGATTTGTATTATTTTTTATTATTAACACAGGGGAGTAGATACTGATCAGTGTTGTTTTCTTAAAATGTTACAGGTCATAATTTATAGTTACATGGCTCGTGTTAAGATACATCAGTTTGGGTAAGTGGCAAGAGATCAGTCAATCTCTTTCCGTTTGCAACTTTATCATGACTGAAGAAGATCCATTGACTTCTACGTGGGGGAACGCTACAGGGTTGGCTATTTCATGCTTTTTGCATTTTTAATGTGCTTTAACAAAGTTGTGGCTAGTGTTTTTCCCTTATATAAATAGTTGCCTAGGCTTCTATTTGGGTTATTGCTTAAAGTGACACTGTAGGCACCCAGACCACTTCAGCTAATTGAAGTAGTCTGGGTGCTGTGACCCTTTTGCACTTAGTGCTGCAATGTAAAACATTGCACTTCCACATTGCAGCTCTAAGTCTGCCCCCAGTGGCTGTCTGCCAGACAGCCACTAGGGGCGCTTCCAGAATCCTAACAGATTTTTGGTCCTTTATCTGACGCTGGATGTCCTCAGGCTTTGCATCTGGGAATCTGCCTTTTAGGCACCCCTGGGTTAGACTATCAGGAGGCGGTTTTGCTTGTCTCCACATATCTCTACTTTTACTAGCATGCCATGAGGCGGCAGCCAAAAACATCATGCTCGGTGATGGCATGGACTCTTCACTCTGGCCTACTCAGGGTATAGGTTGACCAGCAAGCGTGACTTACCCTCCTAACTCTTCTGGGGCAGATGTTATCTACTACATTGCTTACTGTCTGTTAGTACCCTGTGGCACTACCTTTATGCTGCACTCATTACCAGCTGTGACCCAGTCAGCTGCGATTATATTAGTGGTTTCTTGACACACTGTGTAGTTTATTTTCTTGTTATTCTTTCATTTAATATTACTTTAAAATTAGGCTGTCTCTACCAGGAGTTTACTCCATTGTACTTGCCTACTCTCCAATGCTAATAGTTTTTTCTTTATGTATGTAATTCTCAGACTACGCATTTGTTTTCCTGTAAGAGAATGACAAATAAAATAAAATAAATTTAAAAAAAACTAGGAGCATTGATTGGTTGTGAATGAGTAAGTTCTAGGAGTTTGCAAAAAGTAGCAATGTGCCGATATTTCATTATAGTTGGAGTTGCTGTATAAAAGAGCAGAGAAGCAGGTTATCCTGCTGCCCTTTGGAACCACGTGGAAACCCACCATGAATAAATTATCTTAGGCTGTGACATCACAAGCACCACTTAGTCCCGACATGGAGGTATACTTGGAAATTACGGTAATCATCTTAAAATTTTTTTTTACTCGTTTTAAGTTGTTTTCTCTGATCTCGTCCCTTGTATTCTGCATTTTCATGTCACCGTCTGTCAAAAAGGAGCATTAAAAAAAAAAAAAAAACAGGAAATGTCCCTTTAAGATTCACTGGCTAAGATAACTGATTAAATAAATTTTGAATCACAAACTATCTAGCCAGAATGGATTTCTTTGTGGAATTTCGTGCAGGAAAAAAAATAATAATCTTAATTCTTATTCTTGAAAAAAAAAAATGAATTTTCTGCATGTCAGAGTGATGAGCTCTGATATAATCGCTTTTCTTGAATACCACCTACAGCAAAGTTTCCGTGTAACCAGTCAGAAGATTAGACGCTTTTTTCAAGTTGCTATCTTGGGAAATATTTTTCAAGAAAATTACTACAAAGAGTTGTTTTAGAAGGTTTCCCAACTGTGCAACCTACTGTGTTTTTTTAATAAGCAAAACTATTCATCCGTATAGGTGATTCCTGTTTTCCAAGCTTGAGAGTCTAGCAGCATGAACAAATTCACTCGGAGGTTTTTACCCCTTTTATTTCCAATCTCTAATGTCACTGTCGGGTTTTGCTGACTGATGCATTTAGTTTAATGGTCATTTGAATATAGGTCAACAAAGGATTTTCATTTGTTTTCCTTCCTTACTGGGATAACATTAACTAAAAAAACTAAAAAAACCAAAAAAACGGAATGAGTCGAGCTTTGCCCTAAGAATACAACTATGACACAAACTACAAGAAATTGTAATTAAAAAAAAAAAAGTAAGAAATTAAATAGAAAATATGTTAATTCACCAGGGATTAACACGAGAAACAATTCAACCAAAGAAGGAAAATGAAAAAATACAGCAAGTTGAAAATTAGAACATTTGACCTTCTGCGCCGTTACTACAGAAAATATTGAAAATAATTTATTAATAAATATATATTTTTTTCCTTTTTCAATTTTTAACCTTTCTCAGGCAAAAAATAAGCATCATTACATCAATCAGTAATAGAAATCCACTAACACAAAATATTTTTTTTTTCAAATGACATCAGAAAAGAATGCAAACATTTGTCACAAAGTTATTTTATATCCATTTAATTTGACTTGGCAGTGATTAAATGATTAATTGACCTTGGGAACGCTTGACGAAACCTTTCTGAAAATATAGTCCATTAGTACTTTCAAACAATTCTTGATAGTTATAATGTATTCTTTCTGAAATTAATTAACATCCTCTTGGAATCTCCATTTAGACTTGTGTAGTAAGTAGACTAGAATTTGGCTTCCTCAGCAAACAGAACTTTGACTAGAATTTTTCTCAATCAGCGATTTCGGCCTAAATTGTACAATTCAATTTTAGTTCACCATTCGCTGTTTAATAAATAAATCCTATAGAGATTTATATTTTGAGCAGGTAACTGGTATGTTGGCAAGGGAATTTCCCTATATAAACAAACATTGTTGAAATAAAATATTGAAACATTCTTTAACTCATTTACCAGCATGCCCATTTTAATGTTAATTTTGCAATTTCTTTGCCAACTCATTATTAAGTGACTGGAGAATATTCCGATTTGGTGCATATTTGCTAAAGCAATGGGACATGTGTGGAAGAGGCAATGTGTTTATATAGTAATGAGCATCTTTAACCAAGAACATTAGGAAGCTTTTGAAATCTAGAAAGTGTCTTGGCTTCCATATTAATTATATGCTAATTACCAGTCTCAAATTAACATGAATAAATATAATACTTTTCATATACATGCAATATTTGATTAGTAGCTATTTTTATTCCCTTCTTATTGTAAACAGATAGCTATTCATTAATGGTTTGTAGCATTTTTTTATGTTTAAAATATACTTTTAATTATAACTAGATTATTGCTGGAAACAGTTGCTAAAAAAATATATTGTTATCATGTAAAGCGCTAATTTAATCTTGGTATTGTCATTATCCTGAAAGTTGGTGGGTAGAACCAATTATTAATGTCTAGCTTTTCAAACTCATTTGTTGTACTTAATAAAGATATTGAAGAAAAAAATGTATATAAGTAGTATGAATTAGTCCCAGCAACAGCCTTGTAATGTATGCATGTTCAGGTAAGTACAGCCCTCTAGGTTTCAAGTATGTATATTTGGGAATTAATGCCAACTCCTATAGCTTTGCACCCCTCCCTGTCACATGTACCTCATTCCTGGGCCTTATTTAACCTTGCACTTCAGAGAGCCCCAAGAGGAAGGATTTTCTAGGTAAGTGGCAGACAGGGGGTTGCTAGAATAGGACCTTCCAAAAAGGAAATGATACAATTGCTATTATAGTTTTTGGTCTATAACCGCTAACA